GTGTTTGTATACTTTCTGCCCAGTTTGACCCATTTAGCAGAAGTCAGCCTGTTTAAGGCTCTGATATCTATTCTGTATGACTTAAAGCAGTTATACATGGTCTGATTTTCTCACCCAATAAAGGAATATTTAATATATCAGTCTACTCTTCATTCTATCAGAAACAGTTTTCACAGCTCGTACATTTTCTTTTTACACATATATGTAAGCACTGAGCCAAATTTAGTAATGCCAACATAATAAAAGAACAATATTTGTCTCTTATATATAATACATCTATATATATCTTTGAGTAAATCTTTGAGTGAAGATTTAAGGTGACAGGAAATATAAATAACTGCAACTTGAATCTTTACTGAAGCTCAGTATTGGGCACAGAGTTCAAGTTCACTGCTGTAATAACTATTATGGTTAATATAATAAAATGACTGTTCCGTTTCAGAAATGAAGCCCAACAATCATGTTTGCACAGTCCCGTGGTCTCAGCCTCAGATACTTATCAATCACACAATCATATAAAAACAAACAAACAAATGAACAAAAGATTTTCTCCTTCATTTCTGTCAAACAATGTTGTATGAAACGTTTCCAGCGGTTGGTATCACGGTTGATAGGCAACATGGGCAGCGTGACGGATGCTAGACCATCCCATTTCAGAAGCCTCGCGCTTCAGGCCTTAGCGGTCTTTGAGTACGCGGCCCTTGTGGACTGTTAAGGCTGCGTAGTTTAAGGCTGCAGATCCTGAATTGGGATACAGCCACAGACCCCAAAGCATGTAAAAAAAAAAAAAAAGTAGTGGCAACCCAAATGTTTAGTGGAGGATTTTCTCCATTCTTTTCCACCGTGCTACACTCTGCAACACTAACTCATAAAGCTCATTGTATGACACCACTCTGCTGCAAACATTCTTTTTCCGTCCAGCAGAGCACATCATAAACAAAACTTCAATTCAATTCAATAAAACTTTATTGATCCTGAAGGTTGACCCGAAGGAAATTGGGTAAACTTGATATAGTTTTAACTTGATATAGTTTTAACTTGATATAGTTTTAAAAAATATTAACTTAATTTTTTATTTTTTTAATCTTCCAGCAGCACTTCTAAAAGTAAATTGATCAAAATGTAATTAATTATTTACTCAGTAAATATTGGTAAGTGCAGTCCTGATCAAAAGTTTAAGACCACTTGAAAAATGGCAGAAAATAATTTTTTGCATGGTTGGATCTTAACAAGGCTCCAAGTAGACATGCAACAAGAAGAAATGGGAGAGAGAAAACATTTTTTGACCATGCAATTTATTGAAAACAACGCTTAAAGTGTACAGGCTGTTTTACAGAAATCAATTCTGTTTGTCGGGGATACAGGTTTTTTTGGAGGTGTGGTCTTAAACTTTTGATGTGAATATTAACTTTTGATAAATAATAGGGAATATTTCACAGAGCATCACAGACAAGTGTAAACAGCACAAACATAATGTTCATATTTAAGTGACAAAAGCTGTCACATGATAATGCAGGAAAGTGTCTCTGGGATGTTTAAGAGTTTTTTCTTTAGTTCATTTCTTTAGTTCATTCATCAAGTTCAACTTTCCTCTGGTTTGTAGTCATGTAGTTTTAGTATACAGGTCAGCGTCCAGTCAGGTTCAGTTCCAAAGAGCTCCTTAAGTAAAGTTCTAAGTTTTCTGACTTACAAAGAAATAAAACAGTCTGTAATTTTTTATCATAGTTTCATTTTACTGAAGAGACAGAAACAATAGCAACCAAACATCCAGATTAAACACACAGACATGATAAAGTGATTTGTGTGTCAATGAGTGGAATTAGCATTTCATCCATTATTAGTGTGTGGTTGTTTTTATGCAGCTCAGATCAAATTATCACTGAATGTTTCCTTCTTATTGTTCCAGTGTTGATACTAATACATCAGATGAAGACACAACAAGGTTCTTTGGGGATCTGTTCTGTGCAGCAGCAGAGAGAGAACAGCACACAGGAAAGAAGATACTGGAGCTGTTATCATCAGTGTGCAGATATAAAAATAGTCCTCTTAAACAGAAGTGGTGTGACTTCCTCATGGACCTGTACTCTTATGAGACTAAAACAGGCAGGAGTGTCCTTCACTTATTACAGTCGGTTTTCCAGTCAGCTCCTGCAGTCTGGTCCATAAACCTCTCACAGAGAAAGACCTCCATCCTCCTGGAAGTGCTGAAACTCCAACCAGAGAAGAAACAAGTGGAGCTGACAGGCTGCGCACATGAAGAGAGTGAAGTACTGAGTTTCCTTCAGTGTCTGCCTTACATCTCACAGCTCAGGTAAATATGTTTTCCTTTAAAAACATATCTGCATTTGTAACACAGTATACTTCACTACTACAGAATGTAGAGTAAGTTAGGATCTTTGGGGTTATGTTCTCTAGGTACCAACTAAGGAGCGATTGATACACAGCTAAAAGAAAAGTTATAACAATAATTAAAACAACCCCATAACGTGTTGGGTCGCAAATTTTGAAGCCAATATGATAACCTTATCCCACCAACGCTGTGGAGGACCAGCTTTTCAGATCTAAACAAAATCAAGTCACTCAAAAAGATCCTCTGGAAAAGAGTATAATTCTTAGAAGACAGAGTTTTATTAAACAGTGTCATTTGGGGTGGCTGTAGCTCAGGTGGTAGAGTAGGTCATCTGCTGATTGGAGGGTTGGTGGTTAAATTTCTGGCTTCCCCTTGTCTGCATGCCAAATATCCTTGGGCAAGATACTAACCTCAAATTGCTCTCCGATGCATCCATCGGAGTATGAATGTGTGTGAATGTTAGCAAGGAAAGCACTTAGAAAAATGGGTGTGAATGGGTGTATAATAGTATATATGGGTGTTGTATAAAGCGCTTTGAGTGCTCAGAAGAGTAGAAAAGCGCTATATAAGAACCAGTCCATTTACCATATGAACAGCAAAAATGGTACAAATACAGCAAGGAAGCATAGTGAATGCCGCAGTGTAGAGCACAAACAGCAGAGACACACAAAATGACAGACAGGAAAAAAGCAGCCCCGGGCGTATCTGACCCTCCTTTATATAGGATCAATAACCCCTACTCCTGCTGTTGGGTAACTTTCCATTTCTTGTTTTTTTAATCGGACCAAATTAACTTTAACCTAATAAGTATTTTCTCAACTCTACAAGCGTCAATATTATCTCAATTGTCAATGTAATATGTTTGCCAATACTTTTCCCCAATCAGTTGTCAATTTGCACTTTTTTCTTCTTTAATCTCTGACACTTGTGTTACATAACTTTCTGACACTACTCCGTAACTTTTGGAGCGCTGTTCCCAGCATCCATCATTTTTAACTGGGTCCCTTTGACAGTTTTATGGGCAGGCAACAGAAGGACCCAAACGCAAAAAGTAAACTCCAAAAAACACAGCTTTATTGCTGGTGTGGTGAGACACAAATAACAATTCAAAACTAAACTGGGGAAACTAAATCCAAAGGAGACACAGGGAAAATCACACACAGCTATGAGGGAGGACGCGACACTGAACACAGGAAGCCTGAGGACTTAAATACACACATGAGGTGATCAGGAGAAGTGGCAACACATGGGGGAACAGCTGAAACAAATGAACATAACGACATCACAGGGGAAGTGTAAAACTAAACAAAATAACACAGGAACACAGGACCCCTTTCAAAATAAAATAGGAACCATAATGAAACTCAGACATGACTACATGAACTTGACCACAAAAGACATGCAGACATGAAACACATAAAGGACAAGGGAGACTTAACAGGGGGGCTGAAAACACAACGTGAAGCTAATAAACAAATGAATTTAGATAACTTTATGAACTTAAACAAACCATAAACATCAAAATAAACTAAAACTCAAAACGCTGGGTCAAAAGACCCATGATCGTGACACTATATGGGTTAAGGATGGGTGGTTCACCACGTTCTGGCAGCGCAGACAGGCGGAGAGGCTCTCAGGTGCATCTTAGCAGGGCCAAGTTTATTTAACCCTATGTTTGGACTTGTTGGCCATAACACAGTCAAAGGTTACCTGTTGATCCTAATGACTACGTTTAAGACAGTATTGATCACATATGCTCATACAACAAGTGGCACAAACTTCATTAATATAATTAAAGTTAATATTTGATATTAGGAACCTCCAGAAAAAACATTTGGAATAACAAACCTTATGAAAGACTTAAAATACCTTCACTCGGCTGAACATGCTCAGTTTAAAGAAACTAAAAACTAATACAGGGATGGCCAACTCCAGGCCTCGAGAGCCGGTGTCCTGCAGGTTTTGTCCTTGTCTTTGATCCATCACAGCTGATTCAAATGGCTAAATTAACTCCTCAACATGTCTTGAATTTCTCCAGAGGCTGGTAATGAACTAATCATTTGATTCGGGTCTGTTGACCCAGGGTGATATCTAAAACCTGTAGGATACTGGCTCTCAAAGCCTGGAGTTGGACACCCATGAACTAATATGCTGAAACTAAAGCTGGCCAGAGCTGGCTACAAGCCAGTGGCCCTTCTATCTTTCCTTGGTTTGAGCAGTGAACAGACCAAAGCAACTAAAAGCAAAATTATAGAATTATCATCGGTAATTCGTGATCAGCCGTTCTCCATAGATGAGGACAGAGGCTTCAGAAAACTGATAATGTAACTCAACCCAAAATACACTTTACTGAGTAGGTGTTACTTTTTATGTAACACCTACTCATGTTACCAAAGTTGTTAAATCTTGTTTCATGACACACTCAACTGCCACAAGCTGATCACAAAGCAGCAATTGCTACATTAATGTTAAGTTATTAACAAAGTGAAAATGCGTATCTGATCTTTTTTTCTTATATAAATCTGCTGCAGCTGCTTTTGTTTGTTCAGGTAAAATATGTCCAGGAAAGCTGAGAGTAATCCTACAGCAACTCATTTTCAGTGAATTATTATTTGGACTTGTTTCCAGCAGCAGAGCAATTTCTCATGAGGATGAGAGAAGATCCTGTAACTCAGTGCATTTGGGAAACATTGTAAAGTTCAATAATTAATTTTATTATGAAACCAAAATTCTTCATCAATGAAAAGTAGAAATGTGTTTGTACTTGCTCTCAGTGACTGTTCTTAAAAAGAAAATAAATCAGAATCAGCAAAACATCAAATTGGCAAGTCAAACTTAAACATCTTGATGCATGCTCAGTCATCCAGATAAGTAAAGAAAAGTTGTTTCTGTTCATCTCGACGTAGCGTTTTCAGTGGGAGAAGTGTTTTGTCACTCATCAAAGTGACTTCTTCAGTTTCAGCTGACTGCAGTTTTCCCCAGTCTTATAAACAGTACATTTACATAATGACTGAAACTAGTTGCACTGAAGGAACAATGGGCTGGGAGGTCAGTTCCTTGATCATTAATAGAAATGTTTTTTGTCATATACGCAGTACAAGATATAATGAACACGTAGTTAAATGCTTGTGTCAGATCTGCAGACGTAGTCGCGCCATTCAAGGGCTTGGGTTTAGCATGGGGGGGTGATAAGGTGTGTAGCCTTACCACTACACTATCCAGCTGCCTAATATGCAAATTCTCATGACCATTGATAACAAACCACTGATCAAAGCCCACTGATCAATGGCCATGAGTACCATTCACAGAGAGTTGGGGAATGGCTGCCATTGAAAGATTGTGAAACATGTACCCTTAGGCCCCCTCCTCGATTGTTAATTGCCAGGATTGCCAGGATTTATACATCAGGAAAACCAAACAACCTCTGGCAAAGCGGATGGCACAACACAGAAGAGCTACCTCGTCAGGTCAGGACTCTGCAGTCTATTTACACCTACAGGCCGGTGGACACTCTTTCAATGATGAGGATGTACACATGTGTACACATGTGAAAAGGTAAATACCATCTGTGAATCGAGGAGGGGGCCTAAGGGTACATCTTTCACCATCTTACAATGCTGTGATTGCAACCATTCTCTCATAGCCATTGATCAGTGGTTGTTGATGAATGGTCATGCAGTCCCTGCAGTCAGCTGAGACTGAAGAAGTCACTTGGATGAGTGAGGAAACGTTTCTTCCACTGAAAACACTACGTCCAGATGAACAGAATCAACTTTTGGGGGTCAGACTTAAACAATTAGAAATCTAAGACTGTCCATTAAAAATTTAAATCAGCACATCTCTAGTTCTCACTAGAACCAGTAATGTGATGGTTTTGTGGTCCTTTTGTTCTCTACCACTTTTTACTCTGTCTACATTTCAAAGATCAAACATAATTCCTTGCATGATATAATAACAGTTACTTATAACAGAGTGGTTGTAAATGATAATAGTCATCTATGTTTCTGATGTTATGGCAAAATGTTCAATTCTTGTTTTAGTTTCTCCTCTTCATTTTTACGCTCCACTGAAACCAATTTAAAGATGGGAAAAGCAGAGAGAGAACAGCAGCCAGGAGAGAAGATACTGAAGCTGTTATCATCAGTGTGCAGATATGGAATATTCCATTTAAATCACACAGATGATGACTACGAAGAGATGGAGTATGAGCCTGATTTCCTGTTGGATCTGTACTCTCATGTGAAGGACTGTGAGACTAAAACAGGCTTGAGTGTCCTTCCATCATTACAGTCAGTTTTCCAGTCAGCTCCTGCAGTCTGGTCCATAAACCTCTCAGAGAGAAAGA